TTTTCTTTTTGCTTATGTGGTGCTGAGGAATCGAACCCAGGGCCTCATGCATGCAAGGCAAGCGCTCTACCACTGAGCCACCTTCCCAGCCCCCTAAGACCCCTTCTTAACCAACAACTGGCTGAGGTAGTGTGTGTCTGTCATTCTAGCTACATAGCCAGTCCTGGACAGGAAAAAGTCTTTGAAATTCCATCTCTGTGGAAGAGGCTATGTGTGGTAGTTTACACCTTTCTTTCATCCCGGCAACACTGGGAAGTCTAAAATTGGTATTTGCTGTCCAGGTGAGGGAGCAGGAAGTATTGCTAAACGAAAAGATAACAAAAAAAAAAGTGTAGTAAAGGCTGGACATGTGGCCTAATGGAAGAACACCTGCCTAATAAATGGGAGGCCTTGATTTCAAACTCCAGTAGTACTCAAAAATGAAAAAACATCCAAAACAGTATACAGATAATTTTGTTTTTTTGTTTGTTTGTTTGTTTTTAAATGGGTCTGGGTCGTGGGGCCTGAACTCTGGGCCTGGGCGCTGCCCCTCAGCTCTTCAGCTCAAGACTAGCACTCTACCACTTGAGCCATAATGCCACTTCTGGCTTTTTTTTTCTGCTTATGTGGTGCTGAGGAATCGAACCCAGGGCCTCAAGCATGCAAGGCAAGCACTCTACCACTGAGCCACCTTCCCAGCCCCAGATAATTTTGTTTTGACCATGGAATATTTCAGGGGTACAGCACTGTGAAACTAACATTAAGGTGTCTCTCTTACAGAGATAGTTTCACATGATTAACAGCAAAAGTCAGACTAATTCAGATCCTGATTTTCATTTACTAGCTATAATCTTACGGGAAGTTATTAACTAGATTTTTTTTTTTTTGGCCAATTCTGGGGCTTGAACTCTGGACCTGAGCACTGTCCCTGAGCTTCTTTTTGCTCAAGGCTAGCACTCTATCTCTTGAATCACAGCAGCACTTCTGGTTTTCTTGTGGTTGGAGATAAGAGTCTCATGGACTTTCCTGCAAAGGCTGGCTTCTAACCTGATCCTCAGATCTCAGCCTTCTGAGTAGCTAGGATTACAGGCGTGAGCCACTGGCTCGGGAAACATCTTTATCTTTTAACTGGAGAAAATAGATATACTTCAGAGTTGTTATGAGGATTAAATATGATAATATTGTAAAGCAGAACATAGCCATGCACATAGTACTACCTCATTAATATTAATTGTGATTATCATTATTAAACCAAGGTAAATGTTTCTGATTATACATAATGTAGAAACTTAATTAGCTGTTGGGTTTGATTAAGGAAGACTTCAGTGTTTCAGTCCTTTGGTTTGATTTGAATTTCCTTTTGATACTATTGGGAAGATCTTGATATGCCAAATTAGTGTTTAATCATAGTTTTCTATTGAAAGAAATATTGTAAAAGCCTTCCCAACCAGTGTGCAGCATCATATAGAGTGGCATATAGTTTCTTTTCCTTTGTTTTTCCTCTTCTCCCTTCCCTTCAATTACCTTCTCTTCCATCCTTCCTCCCTCCCCACTTTTTCCTCCTTTCTTCCTTTCCTTCTCTCCTCTTCTTTTGAGATGGGTCTTGCTGCACATAGCCCAAGCTGGCCTGGAGCTCTTCATCCTCCTTCCTCAGCCTTCCAAAATCAGGATTACAGGCATGTGAACCATGCTTAGCTCTTAAGTCATTTTTTTACATCAGAATATTACATCCTTTGAAATAATACTTGAATATTTTGTTTTGGTTTTTTTTTCTGTAAACTTTCTGAATGTGGTAATTTGAAACATTTTTTTGGGGGGCCCGGTCGTGGGGCCTGAACTCTGGGCCTGGGCGCTGTCCCTCAGCTCTTTAGCTCAAGGCTAGCACTCTACTACTTGAGTCACAGCGCCACTTCCGGCTTTTTTCTTTTTCACTTATGTGGTGCTGAGGAATGGAACCCAGGGCCTCAGGCATGCAAGGCAAGGGCTCTACCACTGAGCCAACTTCCCAGCCCAATTTGAAACATTTTTATTTGGAAAGTTTATACCAATTCAGTATTTAATATTTAATGTAATAGTTGGCATTTTACTTTTCATGACGTCACAATGTAAGGAAAATCCCTTTTAACCAAACCCTTCCAGCTTAATCCTATGTGCCTTGAAAATGATCACTTTCCATATATGCTGTGTGATGAAAGTTGAAGGATTAGTTTAATGGATAAAGGCACTGCTTTTAGATTCACATAAAGCAGTTAAATTCCCACCGTTGTTTGCTAGCTGTGAGACCTAAAACAAGTAATCTAACCATACAAATCATTATGTTCACGTATGTACATTAGAGATAATACTTGTTTCCTAATATGAAATGAGATGCCTGTGTAAAAGGCATAATGTTAGTGCCTAGCAAATAATATTCAGCAAGTGGCAATGTCATTGTATTAGGATGTTAGTGAGGCTTTATCATTTTAGATCCTCTTTTCAGGGAGTATTGATTATTATTTGAAGAAAATATTCTTTTCAAAGATCTTCAGAGAATGCTTTATTTTCCACAGTTCTTATTAACATTATTTGGTTGTTCAGGGAAGTTTCATGACATGTCTGTATACGTGTACGTATGTGTACTCATTCCTTTTGTCCTTCTTGATCATCCCTTCTCCCCCTCTCCAAACTTCAAATAATTAAAAAACTGTTTTGTGGTAAAAGGAATTAAATCAGTGGCAAAACTCAAGATCTAAGTCTTTTTTTTAATGTAATATTTATTACATGTTTATTACTGTGCCCATTATTAAAATAACCAAAGAAAAATCAATTTAAAAAATGCCCAACTGTCAGTCCAGGCAGTATTGATGTTTTGGCTTGACTGGTTCATGGTAGACATAAATATGTGGGCATCTGAAGCAATTCCTTACAGACCCAGCTTGGTTCTTCTCCAGTGTCTTCTCTTGGAGTTGTACCTGATTTTGTTACCAGTTTTCATTCGAATCCACTGGGGAATGGGGCGATTTTGCTTTTGTTTCTTGGCTAGAAACCGCTTGATTCTGAAAGTCTTGTGAGAAGACATGATGAGAAGCTCTGGAAGGCACAGTAACCACGATGGCAAACAAAAGCTGAAGAGGAGGATCTAAGTCTTGTATTATTGGCTATTTATATTTAAATTTGTGTGCTGCTGTTCAAATTGCTTACTATTGAAATAAAACTGCCCTTTAATAACTGTCCCATGATATCCTACTATAGGATGATAATTCATTATGTTTGTCATTTTTTGGATCAAGTTTATAGATGGTAAATTTTGTTTATTATTATTATTTTTTTGGCCATCCCTGGGGCTTGAACTCAGGCCCTGAGCACTGTCCCTAAGCTTCTTTTTCTGAAGACTAACACTCTACCACTTGAGCCACAGTGCCACTTCTGGCTTTTTCTGTTTATGTGGTACTGAGAAATCAAACCCAGGGCTTCATGCATGCTAGGCAAGCACTTATCACTACACCACATTCCCAGCCATAGATGGTAAATTCATTGTGAAGATTTGTCTTATGTCTGGGGAAAATCTCATTAAAAATATAAAGTGTTGCAAAAAGAAAAAAGGTTTTCTTATAGTCAGTGTTGTTTAGATCTTCTGTATAAATATATTCATCACTTTTTTTTTTTTGATCGGTCGTGGGGCTTGAACTCTGGGCTTGGGCACTGTCCCTGTGCTCTACCACTTGAGCTACAGAGCCACGTCCGGTTTTCTAGTGGTTTATTGGAGATAAGAGTCTCACAGACTTTTCTGCCCAGGCTGGCTTTGAACTGCTATTCTCAGATCTCAGCCTCTTGAGTAGCTAGGAGTACAGGTGTGAGCCACTGGTGCCCGGCTTAGTACATTAATCACTTTTGCAGTCAAAATGTGTTCCTTTTTGGGACCTTGTGTTACATTCAGTCTTCGCTGATGATGCTATTTTTGTAATACTGTTATAACCATAGAATAGGATGTTGTATACTTACTAGATTGGACTGGACATGTTACTGAAACTGTCCAGGACTGAAATTGTTTCCTTAAAAATGAACTTTTAGCTTATTACATTTATTGGTACTATTACAAGAAAAGTAGTCTTTTTTTTTTTTTTTTTGTCTGATAAAATTGATAGTTGGTAACAACTGAAGCACTCTGCTGTGTATTCTTCTTGCTCCTCCAAGCTAATGTGCCACTTCATCCTCTTGTTTCTTGGGAAAGAGAGTTGGTGGATCTGTATTCCTTGCCCCATTCTCCTTCCCTTTCTCCCTTTTTTTTTCTTTTTCTTTTTTTTTTTTAAATCTGGGATGTCTAAACCCATTATGTCTTGCTCAAAAGAATCCATGAACTTTCTTTTTTTTCTTTTTTTTTTTTTTTGCCAGTCTTGGGGCCTGAACTCTGGGCTTGGGCGCTGTCCCTCAGCTCTTCAGCTTAAGGCTAGCACCTTATCACTTGAGCCGCAGCACCACTTCTGGCTTTTTCTGCTTATGTGGTGCTCAGGAATTGGAACCCAGGGTCTCATGCATGCAAGGCAAGCACTCTACCACTGAGCCAACCCCTCCATGAACTTTCTTAAAGTTATTATCAAAGTTTTTCTATAGAGAAGAACTTCCTTTTTTTTTTGCTGGTCCTGGAGCTGGAACTCAGGGCCTGGCACTGTCCTCGAACCTCTTTGTGCTCAAGGCTAGCGCTCTACCACTCAAGCCACAGGGCCACTTCTGGCTTTTTCTGTTTATGTGGTACTGAGGAATTGAACCCAGGGCTTCAAGCATGCTAGGCAAAACACCCTACCACTAAGCCACATTCCCAGCCCTCATTTTCTGTTTTTCATCATGTTCTTCTACATTGCTACCTAGCCACCATTCTTTAAAGTCCTCATCTGTGACCAGGAGAAAAGCATATAAAGGGACAGAAGCAGGAAAATTAGGTAGTTGAGCAAAAAATGAAATGTCAAAGTGAATAAAAAACAAAACCAAAGACATTGTGAAGAGTCTAGATGAGGAATTATTTGTTTCTTCTTTTGGAGAATAGCTGAAAAAGCTGGGATTTTTGAGAAGTTTATTTGCTGTGTTTGAGATGAATTTTTCTTATCTCTCCTCACCTTTTCCAGTATTTAATTTATTTGCCACTCATTCCAGATCAGTGCATCTAGTACAGACCTTGCTTTCTCTTTACCTCTCTCCTCCAAATCTACCTGTTTGAACATTTCTGTTCCTGTACTAGCAGTCTCAACTTCATCTAAGCTGAAAACTGCACTTGTTTTTAACTCTTCTTGCTCTCATCTCTTACAACCAGTTTCCGAGTTCAATGACTCAGTCACGGTCATATTCCAATTTTTTTAATATCAAAATCAGCAAAATCTAAAATAATATTTTCCATCTACCCTGAAGTGAAGAATCTCCTCCACATACTGCCTGACTTCACCATGGGCCCAGAATTAGTACAGCCAAGGACTAAGGGCTGAAGTTTCTGAAATTGGGAACCAAAATAAATCATGAGTTCACTAGGAGTTTTTATTCTATTCTATTTATTTACAGCAATTGCAAGATTCTTGTTTGTTTGTGTTTTTGGTTGGTCCCGAGGCTTGAAGTCAGGGTATGGCTGCTGTTCTTGAGCTCTTCTACTCTTAAGCTAATGCTCTACCACTTTGAAACACAGCTCCACTTCCAGTTTTCTGGTGGTTAATTGGAGATAAGTGGCATATGGACTTTACTGCCTGGGCTGGCTTTGAACTGTGCTCCTCAGATCTCAGCCTCCCGAGTAGCTAGGATTATAGGCATAAACCAGAGCACCAAGCTCCAAGAATCTTTTTTTCATATTCTTTTTCTTTCTTGTGGGAGGAGAAGCATTAGGATTTGAACTCAAGGCTGCATTCTTGCTAGGTAGATACTTTACAAAATTAACCATGCCTGAAACCTTGTTTTTCTTTAATTATTGATAGGTGCTAGAGTTTTTGTTCAGGTCTAACCACAAATTATGATCCCTCTTGATTCTTGCCTTGGAGAAGCTGGGATTATAAGTGTGTGCCACCAGACCTAGCCTATTTAATTAACCAGACAGTATTTTAGCAAGTTATAAAGAGTCTAGTGTTATTTCTCTTGCTCTTGAGTTTGAAATTATTTTAACATTATATAGCTTCTTAGGAAGATAGTTAAAAACTGAAATTGGAAATCTGGAAGACAAATTCATTAAGTGCCCAAGATATAAATGTTATAAAGGAGAGAGAACAGAGAAGACAAATAGTATTTGGTTTTCATTCAGTATAACTCTTTTGCAGTGTTTAGCAAATTGGAGTTAATGTTAAGCCTGTATCTGTACAGGCTATCCTTGTTACCTGATTACTAATCAACTATCATTTCTGTAATTCAAGCTGCTTGAACTTAACATTGCACTTGGATCACTAATTCTAGTTTTGATACATTGCTCTATGTATGCTAAATATATTTTTGTTCTTAAATTGTAACTGAAATTAATTTATCTGTTGGTGTGATTAATAGTGTCAGCTAAGCAAGGGAAGAAGTTATTTGAAATACTAAGTTTGTTTGTACCTGAAACATGTTTTAGGAGGAGCTAGTCTTTAGATCTGAACTTCCTTTACTTCCAAGTTAGACTTGGACTGTACTCAAAGATTGTTAATAATTAGCTGAGCTGCGAGCTTTGCTCAGCCTAGCAAACTCAAGTTCTCAGTTCAAGCTCCATTATAGCCAAAAAAAAAAAAAATAACTTAGAAGGTAACTGAGATGGTATTTTGCTTATTGACACCTTACTAATTTGTTGATATGAGTCGTTTTTGGATCACCAAGTTGTATTTTCTTTTCTTTTTTTTGCCATTCCTGGGGCTTGAACTCAGGGTTCGAGCACTGTCCCTGAGCTGTTTTTGCTCAAGGCTAGCACTTGAGCCACAGCTCCACTTCTGGCTTTTTCTATTTATGTGGTACTGAGAAATCAAACCCAGGGCTTCATACATGCTAGGCAAACACTCTACCACTAAGCCACATTCCCAGCCCCAAGTTATATTTTCACATGGATAAATGTTGTTAATACTCATGAAAGGTTTACCTTTTTTTAAAAGGTACAATATTACTCATAAGCTAGTATCTCAGGAAAAATGTTATTTAAAAGTAAAAGTAGTACTCTCCAGACTGTGATAGACAATTTGCTCCAGGAAAGTTAGAATGAACTTGTGACTTAGAAATTATGTAATCACTTAATCACAATCAAAAAAAAAAAAAGAAC